CTGCCCAGCCCCTGGCCCACGTCTGTCGCTCCTGCCCGCTCCCCCGGCAGCAGCCTGCTCACGGCCTCGCTTTTGCCTCCGCTGTAGATTTCGAGCAGGAGTCCGGGATTGAGACGGCGGTGCGGCTCCGCACGGACGCCTCGGTCACGCTCCCCAGCACCCCGGCCGTGCTGCCCGTCACATCCGTGCAGCCCGGGGCCACGCCCTTTGAAGTGTTGCCTGCAGAGGAAACCACGCCAGAGCTGGTGACCAGCGCCCTGCCTATGCCCAGGGTGACAGGGGCACCAGCCATTCCCAACTGGAAAGCAACTACCAGCTGGGCCACGGCCAGCGACACGCCGCCCCCTTCCATGGCTGCTGCAAGCCCCACGGCTCCCACTGCCTCGCCAACAACCGTCCGGAGGGGCCTGCCCTCCCCCGCCACCACGATGGCCACCACGCGGGCCACCACGCTGCAAGTGCCCATCCCAGCCGCCACGGAAGCCAGCACCATCACGGAGGCAGCCACCACCCGGCTCATCCCCCCCAGCACTGCCAGGCCCAGAGCCAGGCCAACGTTGAGCACCTCCAGGCCTGTGGATGTGCCGGAGAAAAGCACCATCCTGCTGCCGCCTGTTGCTACCAGGGCACCCACAGACATACTCCAGGTATGGACAGGGGCTTCTCTAGCCTGGGTCAGTGACAGGCTCAGCCCAAAGGCCCATCCGGCCCAGTGTCCCCTCTGCCCACAGGGGCCACTGCCAGGTGTCCCGGAGGGAATGAACAGAACAGAGAATCATCAAGTGATCCCTTTCGTCACCCATTCCCAGCCTCTGACAAACAGAGGCAAGGGATACTATTTATACCCACTCTGGCTAATAAATATTGATGGGCCTATCTTCCGTGAACTCATCATCTTCTTTTTTAATCCTATTAAAGTCCTGGCCTTCACAACATCCTCTGGCAAGGAGTTCCACAGGTTGACTGTGTGCTGTGTGAAGAGTCAAAGTAGAATTGGTTAGTAAGGCCACCGATTATTGATGGGAAAACACAAGATTCGGGGGCTTGCATGTGGGCTGGCATAACCCTTCCAAAAATAAATAAAACATAAATACCCTGAAAGAAAATTCAACATCCAAACTTTGGCAAGTTATACTCCATGGTAAGTCTAAAGCAGAAATAGGTCCCCTGTGGGAAATATTTACCAACTCAAGTGTGCCCCGGACTATTGTACTGGATGGAGGAGACTGGAATACAGCGTGTTCTGCTAGCAACCTTCCATGTGTGCTGGGGACAGAAGCAGCAATGAGATCATAGAGCTCTAGGATGAGACTTCTAAACAAATCCACAGGCTCCAGCAATAGTCTATCTATAGTTACTTCAATCTTTGTCCCCAGTGGGATGGCTTTATAAATAAGCTGTAATGCAAGATTTCAGCTGGGTTGCAGACAAAAGGACCACATCCCGCTGGCACTTGCTTTCTGTCCCGGTAATTCTGAGCAGTGTAATTGGATTAAAAACCGGCCTCTGGGTCTGGTCTCAGTTTTTCTTAGGCCAGTGGAGTCTTTATGGAATCTAACAATTGTGGTCTGAAGGAAAGAGCAGAGCGGGCAAGGGGGCAGGGATCTGGGAGGTTAACCCGATAAGCATC